CTAAACGCTGGTGAACTCTGGGGCAGCCTGAACTGCTCAGCAGCTGCTGGACTGTTTGTAAACTCCCTGAGAGAGGCCAGGCCGAGGGGACAATAGCGTTGCTAGGAGATGCGCTTCACAGGGCGCAGACTTCCTGAGAGGACCTTTACCAGGGGTGGGAGGCAGGTTGGGAAAGGCGGGGTCTGAACAAAGAGACTTCTGGAGTGGGGGTGACTGCCAGCCATCTGCTCCTGCCTCTGGGGCACCGAGCAAGGGTAAAGCGGAGGCTCCCCTGGCTGCGTCCCCACCCCCTTCTGCCACGCGCCCCAGTCTTCAGGGCCTAGCCAAGAAGACGGCCTACCCTTGCCCCTTGACCACACAGGGAGAGGCCCGTGGGAGGAGAACAGCCTTTTGCTTCAGAAGAACCAGGTGGGCAGAGGCTGCCCCAGGGCGCCCACGCGAGGCTGGCATCTGACTGGACAAGGATTCTCAGTCCCGGCCTAACCCAATCTCGGCCTTTACAGCTGCCCGGGTGCCCAGGGGTTTCCAGAGCCCCAGTTAGGCCCTGAACAGGTCCCCACTGGCCTCGGTATTCCTGCTTGGAAGAGCAGGACAGGACACCAGCTAGGGGCTGGGGGAGGCCTGGGACTTTAATGAGGCCCCACGTGGAAGAATGTAAGGCACACAGCAGGTGCTTAATAAAGTCCCTTATTTGTTTGAAAGTTATAGAGTAAACAGCTCCATGTGCTAGGCGTGGGCTACATCCCCATCCTGCTCCACGGGGTAACAGTCTACTCAGGAAGACACGCGAGCTGAGCGAGGCAGCTGCCAGCATGGAGGAGTGCGCAGGACCGGACGGGCGCTGGGAGACAGCAGCAGAGAGACACTGGAGGACGGACAAACAGATGGGGAGGAGCAAAGGGGCGGCCACACACAGAGCAGGGGAAGAGCTTTCCAGGCCAAGGGGGACTTGCACACACCAAGGGCCCAAGGCAGGGGATGGGCAATGGGGAGGCATGGGGGGGGTGGGATATTACTCCGTTAGGGGCCTCTGTTTCCTCCCACCCCAGAGGCATTTCCTGTGCCCTGAGTCCTCAGGGACACACAAGGCTCAATAGGGGACAGGAAGAGAGACTCCAGCTGCTTGGGGAATGAGCACAATGCACCCCAATACCCATGACGCCCAGGCCTCCCAGGTCAGGGAAGCGGACAACTTCTGGGCGTGGCAGGGGCTGCTCGGATCACATCTGGTCACTTTATCCAAAATCATCAGCAAAAGGTACAGAGAAGAGACAGGACACCACATGCCCTGAGAGCAGGGTGGGCGTCAAAGTGGGGGTCTTGAATTGAGGGACCCCCCTCATTCCTGCTGCCTGCCCGGACATCGCTGGCCTCTCCCTCCTCCTTCACTCTCCACATGGAGATCTGTCTAACCTGCAATTTCTAATCTTGTCATGTTTTTGTGCATCAACACTAAAAAAGAAAATCTAAATTCTCTATATGGCCTGCAGGGCTGTGTATGTCCCTGTCCTTGCCTCTCGGTGCAACCCATTCTCCAGCCGCTGACCTCTCCTCTGGCTGAGGCTGGCCCCCAACATAGCACCCTTAACAACCCCCCGGCCAGGCATGTGTGCATCCCTCTCTCCCCATCAGAGCAGCTTCCTTGTCTCCTTGCAGTGACTGTTGAGGGGCCACAGGTCCCGGAGGGCAGGGAGGGTGAGGGCTGGCTTTTCCTCTTTGCAAGCCAGAGCCTGGCCCGTGGCTGGAGCTCAGTACAGGAGCGGGAGATGTTTCCACTCCATACACAGAACTGAAAGGAAGCAAGGCCCCTGCTCGGGTGGCACAGCAGAGCACCTCATGGGACAAAGCTTATTATTGAGACACACGGGGGTAGAGGCCTGGCCCTGCTGCCCAGCCGCAGATCCCCGGATGAATCCTACCCAGCTGTACCTGGGGTGGCCTGGGGCTTCTGTCTACAAATGGCCCACCCCCTCAGCAGGAGATGCCAGAATTGAGAAATGAGACCCAGGTGGAGGGGCCCTGCTTCCAGGTGTCTGTATCGTAAGACTCCACTACACACGCTGCTACCTGTCCATTTGGGACAGAAACCCTGGGTGGGTGAAGAAGTGAGGGCTGGGTCAGGACCCGTCCTCGTGCGGCCCAGGGGCCCTTGGGGAGGAGCACGGGAGGGGCTCCAGCTGGCCGGCCAGCGCCCCAGGCCCTCCCTCGTGCCCCCACCCACACCTGTCCTCACCCTCGTAGCAGTCGCGCACGGTGCCGAAGTACACGTAGTACTGGTCGTTGGTGAAGAAGAGCAGGCTGAGCCAGGAGTCGAAGGCGTAGATGGGCACGATGAAGAGGATTCGGACGATGTAGCGCTGCTCGTTGGGGCAGCTGTAGCAGCGCAGGTGCATGTAGATCTGGGGGCAGATGGGCGGGGTCAGCCGGGACCCTCCTATCCCCGGGAGGAGCAGCCTGGCCAGGGGACGCGGACGTGTGTGGACTCCTAGCTCTGCCGCTTACTCCTCTGGGACCTGATGCGAGGCACTTAGCCCAGGCCCCAGAGCCCCGCTCTGTAAGATGCAGGTGATAAAACCTGCGTCTGAGGCTGTCGCGAGGCTCAGTCCAGCGGGGCACACAAAGCTCACAGAGCACACATGCGGCGCCCCAGGCGGCCTTGCAGATGCTGCAACTGTGAGCCCACCGCCCAGGCCAAGCCTGAAATCCAGTTTAACAAGCCCCCAGGAGCTCACACAGGCAGCTCTGCACCCCCAGCCTGTGATCCCCTTTGCCCCTCTGGGCAGAGGGTCTAAAGCAGCAGCACGGAGCTAAGGCACGGCCCCCTGAGTTGGAGCCCACCCTGCCCCACCCCCTAACTTATGGTGCAGGGGGAGAGAGAGATGGGGGCCCACTTCTGAGGGAGGCGGACAGGATTCCTGGCTGAGTGGCCACAGTAGCATCCTCACACTGGGCCTTCCGGGCTGTTAAACAAAGGCAGCACCACCGGCCTCACCCGGAAGTTAGGACAATGAAGTAAAACTTTCAGAAAGCAGGGACAAAAAAATGAGAGCTACACACAAATGCGAAGAGCTGCTCTAACACGGCCCTCAGTCCTGCAGCCCCCACGTGTCCCATCCCAGCTCTCATGACATCACACTTGGCTTGCTGAGCGCTGGGCTGGGGGGAAAAGAACAAAATATCCTCCGTCTGCTATGAGGAACCGCCTTGGAAGCAAGCGATTTCTAAAAGGGACAGGGACACAGGCCAGTGGAGCTGACGCACCCAGCCCCTCTTTACTGGTCACCTTTTACCCTCCTTCTCAGGCCCCGAGCCTGTCCCAGCCCACACCAGCCTCCACTGGGGCAGTGAGCAAAGGTGGGGGCGGGGAACTGGACTTCTACCCCAGCTCTGCCACCAACTTACAAGTGGCCAGGCTGGCTCTTCCCCTCCTTCCCATCTGGCTCTCAATTTTCCATCTGCAAAGGGGCCCCTGCCACCCACGTGCTCCTACAGTTCCCGGCTCCCTGGAGCTTCAGCGGGACATGACACTAATTCTGACCAATGGAAGGTGAGCAGAAGGGATGGGCGTCATCTCTGGAGTGCGGTGGTTACATATCCAGGTGCCTTCCTCACACTTACTGCCCCAGCTGTCAGAGGGATGATCCTTGAAGCTGCTCAATGCTAGAGCCACAAGACAGCACCTGACCCGCCGTGGGCCGAGCTGGGACCGTGCACAAGAGATCAACTTCTACTGGGCAACGCCTCTGACAGTCCGGGGTTTGTCTAATACTGTAGTATTAGGCCAAGCCTAATACTCTGTTGGACTAAAGCCCCTTGGGATCCTTTGAGAGGGCCTGGGTACCTGGTGGCAGGTGATGAGCAGGGCCGTCCACACGAAGAAGCCGGAGATGGCCTGAGCGGCAGTTGTCATCAGGAACACAGGCTGCTCCATGGCAGTGGGGCTGCCCTCGGGGATCGCAGAGACGCTGGGTGAAGCTGCTGCGGTCGTGGGCGACGCTGGATCCGGGGCCAGCGCAGCCCCCCTCACTGTCATGGTGCCCAGCAGCAGGAGGCTCCCTGAGAGAAACCCTTGCAGGAAGTGACAAGCTAACCTAGAGGGAAGAAAGCATGACGTTAGTCTCCTCCCAAGGTGCGTGGCAGCGTCGGAAAGAATCTTCCAGGTCTCTACATCCACCTCTGTCCACGGCTCATCCGGATCCCAGCCATCACCCTGGTCCCGTGGCCACCCGCCGACCTCTGGCAATAACCTGCAGTGCAACCAGAGGAACATCTGACAGTTGCCAACGATGCAAAGAGCAGAGCAGGGGCACTATGGGAGGAGCCCGGCTGGAGCGCTAGTTCCAGCGCCACTGCTAACGCCACCGCCAACCAGCTGTGTGTCCTGGTGTGATTCCCTGGGCCCCACAGGCCCCCTGCTGCCTGACCCAGAAAATGGACAAACCCCAAATCCAACCATCTCGGCCTGAACCCCGAGGTCTGCCCAGATGACTCCCATGGTCCTTTCCAAGTCTGTAAGCTCATATTCAAACCAAAATATAGTGACACTGATGGGAGGCTTTCCTGAGCCTTTCCGGGGTACAGGCTGGCCCAACGAGGAAGAGGTTTCTTTGCCCGCTGCAGACACCACTCCCCAAGCCCCAACTCCTCGCCAACGGCTCAGCACCCCTGCTACCGTGCACGCCACATTGGCTCTTAGCTGGAAGTGTGTACCCTAGGAGAGCACTTTACGTTTCTATTTTCCTACATATAAATGGTCTCTACCACACCGACCAAGAGATGCATCTATATTAAAAACTCAAAAATGGAGACAGCATCTATATAAAGAAACTCAAAAATGGAGAAGGTGTCTATATAAAGACTGGTGGCAAGCTTTGAAAAAGAGACACAGTGACAAATCCAAGAATAGCTCCTGTAAGTATGGCTGCAAAATTGAAAACCAATGCCAGAAGTATTTCTTGAAAAAGAAGATTTGGGTTGTAAACCATCATCTTTGTCTATCATCCCAAATTAAATGAATAAACACAGGGAATGGCGGGGGGGGGGCGCAAAGGAAGTACAAATACTCCTAAATCTTCACCTTCCAAGCAAGAGCTGGGGCATGTCAAAGGCTATTTTGTCCCTGACTAAAGGCAGTGTTGAGAGGCGCCGTGTTGATTCCCCAACAGAGGGGCAAGCCCAGGAAACAGACCCCACCAGGGCTGGGATCTGGGTGTAGGCTCCTGGCCAGCTGCTTCCTGGGGCTTTGCTCACTCACACTCACATACCCCCAGGGCATTCCCAGAGCTCCCTCCGCTCTTTATGTAGGTCACTTAATTCACTTAATTCGCAAGAAAGACAGCCAGAGACAGCAGGTAACTTACCCCAAATCAGAGCAAGGAATCAAAGCCAGGTCCTCCAAACATGTTGTCTCCCCACCTCCCACCAAATGGGGGGACCTGGATGAGCTGCCCCTCCTCCCACCCCAGAGCCCCCTTACAGGACAAAGCCCGTCCTCCCAGGGGCCAGTTTGCACAGTGCTAGGCCCTGTGCATTGTCCACCATGTATGTTGTGGCGGGTAGGATGGAGATTGGAGCCTGACCCTTTCATACTTAATATAGGCACCTACCTGGGAAGGCTTTCTGGCCTGCCCAGGCCCCACAGGCAAGCGGGACTTTGGCCTGGCACAGCCCCTGGACCTTGGGGAAACGGGTAGTGCTGCCTGGCGCAGCCCCTTTGCTCCCCTGGGAAGGACCTCCATGTCACCCCTTTTCCAAGTTAGCCCACGCACCCCAAGGCGCCAGGTGGGAGATGCACATATGAGGCTCGGAATTCCAGCTGCTCTGGCAGGACCCTGTTATTTTCTTAATTGATCAAATGTTAAACTTCTGCCAGGGACATGGCAGAGGGCCCAGAGGGGAGACGTCAGAATCTTTTTTTTTTTTTTTTGAGACAGGGTCTCGTTCTGTTGCCCAGGCTAGAGCAGTGGCATCATGATAGCTCACTGCAACCCCAACTCCTGGGCTCAAGTGCAGGCGCATGCCACCACGCCTGGCAATTTTTCTAATTTTTGTAGAGATGGGGTCTCGATATATTGCCCAGGCTGGTGCCAAACTCCTGGCTTCAAGTGATCTTCCCACCTCAGCCTCCCAAAGTGTTAGGCAGAATCATCTTTCTAACAAACGCATCCTGAGGCCTCTGGACTGGCGCTGGGCCCTGGGCTTTGAAGCACTCCCAGCCACTCTTGGCGACTGCTCTGTGCAACAGGGGTAACCTGGAGGCCTCATCCCCTGGTGCTGCTGAGAGGTGAGTGCCCAGCACTACAGGAGCCCAGGGCGAGCATCGACTGGCTTGGCCAAGGTTAGGGAGGGGGTCAGGGAAGGCTTCCACATGGTGCAGCTTTGCAGCAGAGTCTCAAAGTAGCATAACCACGCGTCAGCTTTGAAGTCACCCAGTAGGACTCCCACCAGACTCCACCACCTGCAAGTTGGGGCAAGTGACTTTTCTCAGAGCCGCAGTTTCTTCATCTATAATATCTCAGGGAAACTACTTAATCAACAAGGGAAAGTTCTAGTTTACAGAATTTCCATTAATAAATGGAGACAGAATCTCACACCTGTAATCCTAGCACTTTGGGAGGCCGAGGCGGGCGGATTGTTTGAGCTCAGGAGTTCGAGACCAGCCTGAGCAAGAGCGAGACCCCGTCTCTACTAAAAATAGAAAGAAATTAATCGGACAACTAAAAATATATAGAAAAAAAATTAGCCGGGCATGGTGGCGCATGCCTGTAGTCCCAGCTACTCGGGAGGCTGAGGCAGAAGGATCGCTTGAGCCCAGGAGTTTGAGGTTGCTGTGAAGTAGGATGACGCCACGGCACTCTAGCCCAGGCAACACAGTGAGACTCTGTCTCAAAAAAAAAAATAAATAAATGGAGACAGAATAACAGAATTAAAAGTCACCATTTTGCAATTCCTGGTTCAAATAACGATGTGCATACGGATGATAAAACCAGCAGGTGCAAGGCTGACGGGGAACTTGGTAACAGAAGAATCAGGTGGCACCTCCTGCACCACAGTCAGTATCAATGCCACTGAAACGGGGTGGCCAGATGTCTCGAGCCTCCTGATGAATGCTCGGGAAGCCAGCAGCACCTAGGAAGGACTCACGCCCAAAACATGAACTGGAATCTAAACAAATCTCCAGAACTAGCCACTGGGACCCAGGAGACAGAGAGGGCAGAGGAGCAGATGAGACGATGCCGTGAGGAAGCAGCAGCCCCTCTGGACTATGGGTCAGTCCACAGGGCAAATGACCGGGGCCTTCCAGCAAATTGATGGCTATCACAGAATGAGAGACACGACTAAGCACAGTGTGTCTGGGTCCTGATGCTCAAAAACCAATAATGAAAAGACATCTTGGAAATACAGAACAGACAAGAGTTCCCGTCAATTTCATTATGGTGATGATGGCAAAACTAAAACTCCTCATCGGTGGAGGAAGAATAAGCTTTTCAACAAATGGTGCTGAACCACTGGTTCAACCAGAAGCCAAAAAACAAAAAACTTTGACTTTGAACCTAAACCCTTATACCATATACAAAAATTAATTCCAAATGCATCAGAGGTTTAAATGTAAAATATAAAACTATAAAACTTTCAGAACACACAGGAGAAAATATTTGAAACCTAGGGCTACTGGACACCGAAAGCATGATCCATAAAAGGAAAAACTGATAAACTGAACTTCATGAAAAACAGAAACCTGGGCGCTGTGGAAGAGTCTACTAAGAGGATGAAAAGACAGGCCACAGAGGGAAGCACTGTTTGTATGCCACGGACTAGCACCAGCAACTGACTGGCACCAGGAATATATCAAGAATGCTCAGAAAGCTCAATGGTCAAAAAAAAAGAAAAAACCCAATTAAAAAACAGGCAAAAAACATGAACAAATATTTCACTAAAGAACAGATACAGGGGCTGGACAGGGTGGCTCACACCTGTAATCCCAGCACTTTGGGAGGCCAAGGCGGGAGGACTGCTTGAGGTTAGTTCTAGATCAGCCAGGGCCACATAGCAAGACTCCATCTCTACGAAAATAAAAATTAGCCAGGTGTCGGGGTGAGCGCCTGTAGGCCCAGCTCCTGGGGAGGCTGAAGCAGGAGGATCACTTGAGCCCAGGAGTCCAAGGCTGCAGTGAGCTATGATGATGCCACTGTACTCTAGCCGGGGTGACAGAGCAAGACCCTGTCTTTAAAACAAACAACAACAAAAAACCAAAACAGATACAGACACATGGCAAATAAGGGCAGTCTGGTGGCTGGCAGAGGGCAGTGATGATGATGAGGAGGGGTGTGTACATTTAAAGGGCAGCAAGGAAGTTCTTTCCAGGTGATAAAATAGTTTGTGTCTTGATAGTGGTGGTGGCAACATGAATCTATACCCGAAAAATATCCCATTGAACTATACACACGCTCCATACCTAAAAACAGGTCTGTACCCGAGTTAACAGTACTGCACTAACGTCCGCTTCCCGACTTTGATGTTATACTACAGTTAGATACGATGTCACCATCAGAGGAAGCTGGGTGAAGAGCACACTGGACCCTGTGTGCTATTTTTTCTTTTTTGTAACTTCCCGTGAGCCTACAATTATTTCAAAATAGAAAGTTTTTAAGTCTTTATCAGGTAGAGATACATACTGAAGTATTTAAGGGTGAAAAAATAACATGATGTGTGGGATTTACTCTTTAAAAGGGGGAGAGGGAAAATGAAACAGTTTCACACAATGTTGCTAACTGCTGACGCTCAGTGACAGAGAGGGAGACATTCTTACACCATTTGCTCTACTTTTGTGTGTGGAAATGTTCCCTACTAAAAAGCTTTGGACACTAGAACAGTTGAGTTTTCTACAAAATCTGTAATGAGATGGGGAGGGACACAGGAAATCATTTGTATCAGAGATTTCTCGATTATCTTGCAGATAAAGCAATCAAAAAGAATTGTCAAGCCTAACAACAGAGTTACATATTTTTCTTTTATTAAAAAAAGTTGTTCCATGGCTGGGTGCAGTGGCTCACGCCTGTAATCCTAGCACTCTGGGAGGCCGAGGCGGGCG